AAAGCCCATCCTTCAAGCTAGATGCTTCCCACCTTCAAGCTCCTTTCAAGAATCACCAAAACCACTCTTTTAAGCTCACCACACTCAAGATGAAAGATGGAAAATGAATATAGGGTTTCTCTGGACAAGGAGGCTGGTAGGGAGGCCATCCAAGAGAGTTTAAGTCCTTTATATAGGGTGCAACACCCTAAAATTAGGGTTTCATCTTTGGCCATCAACTTGTTGAGTTAGGGCTCCCTAACTCGTAGAGTTGGAGCCTTAAACTCCGCAACCAAATAGACTCCTACATGACGATTTGGAGCTACCCAACTTGTTGAGTTCAAGGTTGAATCCTTAAAAAATGATGAGAAATGAATAATACCTGGACCAAGCGTTACAATTTTGAAGATTACTGATGACAGTCGCATTACATTGTTCTAGAATATATAGGTCAGGATCATGTTTGCCTCTTCCCATGATCATCTTTGTTTTCTTGTGTTGATAACAAATTAAACATCATCAAACAAAACAATGGAACGAAGATATCGAGTTAGTTTACTAATAGATAATAGGTTTTTGGTAATCTGGGGAGCAACTAAGACATCCTGTAATAATAAGTAATGGAACGCGATCCAATGTGAAATAGATAAGCGATGACCATTACCAACATAAAATTGATTATTAGCATTATATGTGGTCGCCAAATAAAGTTGAGAAGTATCAAAGGTCATATAGGAAGATGCACCATAATCCATATACCAATATGATGCATCCATTGACTGAATTTTCATGGCATTAAAAACTTAAGCCAAATAGGCCTACGATGATGAAGTGTATGAGTGAGCATAACGATCGTGGCCGTTAATAGCATAATGACCATCAACTTTACATATTTGAAAGCATTGTGTATAAGGATGATGGATACTTTGATGCTCTAAGTTGGAATTATTGTAAGAGCCACTAGCATGAGAAGAGCAGGAATCACCAGAAAAAGATGAAGGTCCGTGAGAGCGACCACCACACTGATTATTGGGTGAATTTGATCCATTATTTTCCATAAATGCTACAAGTTCCAGTTGAGAATCTTCCAAAGATTTTTGGAAGGGAGAGTAACTTTCTACTTCAAAGACAACATACCAAAAAATGGATGTAGGTATTATATGCATCTGTGACAAGGAGAATGTAGAAAATAGTGGGCCAAGGCCACAACAATACTGATATAACTTGTCGGTCTCGGGAACGAAAGAACCAATAGCTACAAGTTGATCACAGAATGAGCAAAATTTGATGCTGTAGACTGTGACAAAATCATTACCTCCGCATAGATGTTGAAATTCATCATTGAGCTGAATTTCACATGTCTTCGAGTGAAGAAAATGTGTTTTTTCTAGGGTAGTCCACACATCAGCAACACTTTTACAACCTAGGATTAAGCTACCCTGAATTTCGGAGCTAGATGATCCAAAACCAATTAAAAAAATGCACATACGCAGGATTAACATATATATTAAAGATAGAATTTCATATATACCCTTATTAAACTTCAAAATATCATATTTGCCCAGCCTAATATCAAAAAATTGTATTTGTACTTCTTAACTTTTAAAATATTATATTTGCCCAAATCTATTTTTCAAACATTTTTTAATCTATTTTCTTCATTTTTTATTTATTATAACCATTTTAATTTTTAAAAAAACTACTAATTGACCAAATTGCCCTTCAATATTAAAACCCTTTTTCCATCATAGAAATAAATATATCACTAACCCCCCACCTAGATACAACTTAGTAGCTAACAACTAAACTAATGATTGCCAAACATTCACCAATAACATATGGAGATTTCCATAATCAATGGTATTTATAGGTACTAATTCAGATTTCCATAAATCAAAAATGGGATTTCCATTAGGCCTCACGGAGTCGATGCGGTTTCATAAGAGGGATGAGCCGGCGCCGACAAGAAACGGTACCTAGAAAGGGAGGGTTCATCGGTTTCGTTGTTTAATAGTTTCAAATGGGTTGGTAAACCTGTAGGTATTCAGCATTGAATATATTTTGTCTTTTACTGCATGTGACATGTGACTTTATTGAATGCATGAACTTTTTTTAATGCATGCACAAAGATTCTTTGCCAACTTTATTTGAATGCATTTGACCACATTTTAATGTATTTTAACCATATTCACACGATTTCTTTTCTTTATTTCTTTATTTTTTTGTTTTATTTAAGTTTATAAAGATGAATACATATTTCATTCATTTGTAGTGTGTTTTTGTAACGCCCCGTTCATGGTATGCAAGTATTTAATTAAATCAAGTATTTATTTTTGAGCTACTCGACGAGTTAGTAGCCCTAACTCGTCGAGTAGATGCCAGAAAGGACACGTGGTTTAAAGGGTCTACTCGGCGAGTCCAAGCATGGACTCAACGAGTAGGTCTGCTAGGAGGAAACCCTATTTTCGAGGTTTTGCACCCTATTTAAACCACTTAAACCCCCTTTGGGCCTCCCTTACCAGCCTCCTTGTCCTTCAGAAACCCTAATCCGATTGAGAACCTCAACCTTCAGTTTTTTAGTGTGTTTTTGTGTTATTGAAGATAGTTGGAAGAGCTTGGAGCTATCAAGCTTGTGGAATGAGAATAAGATCCAGGAGTACATTCATCTTTGGCAGCTTTCTGAGGTAAAAAGCTCTTAGCTTGATAACCCATAGCTTAGATCTCCTTTAATGTTGGTTTATGGGTCTTTTTGACCTTTTTTATTGGGATAAGTTGCTTCTCATGGGTTGCATGCTAAGAAATCCCTCTTTCCTGAGATATTTAGCCTCTAAAGTCATAAAAGGAGTTTGAAACCATTTTCATCCAAGCCATGGTCATGTTCATGGAAGTAGGTTGCTATGACCTAAGTATGGGTCCATTTAAGGTGTGACAATCCATCAAGTCTCCAACTTTATATAAATGGACCTTGGAAACAACCTAGATCTATATTTTGGAGTTGTAGAAGTGTGAAACCAGTTAACTAGGTTACATCTATAAGGGACTCGATGAGTTTATAAGGGAACTCAGCGGTTCCGATGAAGAAACCTCGATGATCTTTATAGGACTCGACGAGTTGATTAAGGAACTCGGAGAGTAGGAGGATCTTGTCCCTTTTCTAATTATGTCAGGACTCGGCGAGTCTGAGGACGAGTCGATGAGTCAGTTCGACAAATCGCGATGACAAGTAGCTTGGGAACTCGACGAGTCAAGTCACGATTCCAGGGTTCTGAGTTCTAGGAATCGGTGAGTCACATGGCTGACTCGGCGAGTTTGGTCAACTTGGAAGGTTAACTTTGACCAGGATTTTGACTTGACCAGGGGTGAAATGGTCATTTTTCCTTAAGAATAGTTATCAAATTTTGACTAAGTATCATTATGTAATTTATATCCGGAGAATCGCTGGAGCAACAGATAGGGATTTCTCACCCAGATTCTCAGCAGTCAGTCATACGAGGTGAGTTTCCTTTAAGTAGGGACAGGTTGAAGGCACCAAGGTCGACCCATCTACTTGATATGTTAGTAATTGAGTGTGGGCGGAGCCCGAATCTCTTAGCAATCTAGTATGGGCGGGGCTCGATTCTTTTAGCATTACCTAAGCATAGATAGATGATTGCATGTTACATATACTTGTTGTATGTGTGATACTTGTATGCATGTTAGTAGCAGAGTGTGGGTGGGGCCCAAATCTCCTAGACAGTGGAGTGTGGGCAGGGTCCAAATCTCCTAGAAAGCAGAGTGTGGACACGGCCCGAATCTCCTAGATAGTGGAGTATGGGTGGGGCCCGAATCTCCATAAGAGTGGGTGGGGCTCGTATCTCATAGTTGCATGATATTTGTATGGTATGTGGTAGATTGGGGAGACTCACTAAGCTTGGTGCTTACAGTTTCAGTTTTGGTTTCAGGTTCTTCCGGGAGCAAAGGGAATGGCTCGAGGTGATTGCATCGCACACACCACTACATTCAGCCTGGGATTGTTTTGATACTCTGATATTTTATCATATGTTTTGCCACAGTACTTGATTTGACGTTTTGAGATACATGATGTATGGCTTTCTTTATGGTTATGGAAGACTTACGGTTTTATAATAATTTTCAAAACGATATTTTTGGACCGTGTTTTGTGGACGTTTTAGTTTTTTTCTAGAAAAAAATTATATTCATTCAATTCCTTCAGTTACATTTAACGGATTCTTGAGCCAAAGCTAAACAAACCGGTTCTAGCCACCAACGCAACTCCACACAAGACAGTTCAAGTCAAGATATTCCATTTTTTTCACCAAATTTTCAAAATCCAAACTATCAACAATACCAAAACTACCAACAAAACCAAATCTACCAACAAAACAAAAACTACCCACAACAATACTCCCCAATGCAACAATCTTACAATACATTTAGGTTCCAGAAGAAAATCAGAGTTATAACCCAGGGAATCAATTTTCTCGAAGGGTTCCAGAAACTCAAATCCAATCTTCACAAACCGAGAATTTCCAGTTTCGTGATGCTCAGAATGTAGAATCTGACAGTTCTAGTGACGACCTGACTCCTGAAAGAACCGAAGAAGAAACCATCTAAGAGTCATAACCTGTTGTTGAGAAAAAAAATGTAACTATATTCATCATCGGACGCAAAAGAACTGGGTGGAACGGGAATAGTTGGCTTTGGCTAGGGCATATGTTGATGCTTCTAAAGATAAACAATGTAAATATCAATAAAGGTTCGATGCATTTTGGGAGAAGGTTCTAGAGAATTTTAGTGTTCAAATGATTGGTTCATATAGGACATGACACCAAGTAAACTCAAAATGGAAAGACCTCCAAAAGAAATGTAACGCTTTCAACGACATCTATAACCGTAAGATGAACAGTGTGGCTAGCGGGTGATCTAAGGTTGATGTTTTACAATCTTCACTTAGCGGGTATTGGAGGACTATTAACCAGAAGGTTTTCCTAATCAACAAGATTGGGCGTGGTTGAAAGACAATGCGAAATGGGCATTGGATGAACAATATGGCTAGCGGGAGATCTGAGCCTAATGTTTTACAATCTTCACTAACCGAGTATCGGAGGACTGTTAACCATAAACTTTTCTCTCATCAACAAGCTTGCGAGTGGTTGAAAGACAACACGAAATGGGCATTGGTTACAAAAGCGGGTGAAGACTCCCTGCCTCCTTTAAAATCAACCAAAACATCTTCATCCAACACCTACACATCATCATTTGATCCATAGTATCCTTTTGGATTCTCTCCCCAACAACAACAGCGTTTAGCATTGAAGACTCACCACCTCAGAGAAAAAGAAAAGGAAGCAAAGCAGCATCGACATCATCTACATAAAGTGAAATGTTTGATCTCGTCAAACAAATTTTCGGCATCAAGACTGCAACCGAAACAAAGGCGGAACAAATACAACGGTACCGGGAATAAAAATTACGCATTCTCGACACTAATGAAGAACGAAAAGCTCAACTATTAGATCGAGAGATAGAGAACGAAGATATGGAGTATTTTCTCCGACCGCATGATCATTTGACTGCAGGTATTTTGCGTACAGTGCTTGAAAGGAAAAGACAAATTGGAACTAAGTATGGTTGGGAGTTAGAGAACCCATGAAGAAAACAATAAATACCACCAATAGACAAAAATTGGGGGTCAATTTCAAAATTTAGTCATAAAAAATGATTTTTCCGGCTATAGACATGCATTCCACAGAGGACCCTCTGCGGACCTCCGCAGAGTAATGTCATGTCCGCGCATTCTAAAAAGTTGCTTTTATTTTCTTAAAAATTGTTCCGCGGGGGTCCTCTGCGGAGAAATTAACCCCTCCGCGGAGTGAGTCATTTGGCAATGCTTAAATCCCTCCACAAAGCTGGCCACGAGGAGCTCCGCGGAGTAAGTGGTTGCAACGTATTTGTGATGATTTTTTGATATGAAGTTGTGTTTTCATTTTTTTATCTCCATTTGCGTTCAAATTTTTTTAGTGTTACTGATTTTTTCTCAAAAGAATTATGAGTTTTGTTATTTTATGTTCTGGGTTTTTTGGCAGATAAGTAATGGGGTTAACACCTACGTTAGACCTAAGCTTAACAACTTAGGTATACTGCTTCCGCTAAATTTTGATTGTTGAATATTGTTTGATTTGGTCAAAAGTAAGGCTAATGTGTTCAATAGTAATATGTCATTGTCATTTCAACACCCGGTTCATGGGTATGTTATGAATATTGTAGATGAAGCAGAAGTTCATCAACTCAGAAATGTAGTTTTTGAAACGAAGAAGATTGTGCATTTGTATTTGGAGGTGTTTGAGGGATGGGTTGAACAGACAGAAGCGGCTGACAAGATTGTACCATACAATGTTGAAAACATTGTATATGATAATGTTGAAGGGTGTCCAAAAGAAGAAACTGTGGAAGTGAATACAATAGAAGAAGAAAAATTTTATGAGTTGGGAAGACTGGATGACAAAACTTTGTCAGACGATGAAGAGTCAAATGAAGTATGGTCAAAAGATGAGTTCACACATGAGGAAAAAGCTTCAGACATATTTTACTGATGCCTCCCATACCTGATTGTCCCAATCCTATTGTTGAACCCGGACCATTTCACAGTTTAGGTTGAAATGATGATATGTTTGTTCGTCAAACGTATGATAACAAACAACAACTAATATTTTCCTTGAGTTTTAAAGCAACCACAGAAAAGTTTCAATTTAAGACCAAACATTCTAATAAAAATCATTATGAGGTATATTGTGAAATTAAGAGCACTCTCTTTTTTGCATATTCCGTGCGTATGGGGCACTATTTGGTTGTTCCCATCCATAGCTACTGCATGTAATATGGTTCCCTTACGCACGAAATATGCAAAAAAAAGAGTGGTTTTACTTGGACATGGTTTCTTGAAAAGTTGTATGAATGTGTTGGTGATTATCAAGAATTGACTTTTGTAACTGATAGGGCTGATGCAATTCGTGTTAGTACTGAAAATGTTTTCCCTCATGCTCATCATGGCGTATGTGCTTTTCATCTACTAGGAAACATAGTACACAGGTTTGAGAAAATGATAAAACAAAAGTGTTGTTTTGGAGGCTTGTGAAAGCTTACAAAAGAAATGCTTTTGAATAATTATGGTCTAGATCTAGTTCTATTAGGCCACAAGTAGCGGCGCATCTAAGTGAAATTCCACGTGCTAAATGGACTAGAGCATATTCCTCGTCGAAACGGTACAATTACATGACCTCGATCAGTGCAGAGTCAATGAACGCTTTATCTGTGGATGCAAGGAAGATACCTATAATACCCCTTCTTGAGTTCATCCGTCGTCTTTTCACAGGAATGGTGTAACAAGTGTCGCATCGATGGAGGTATGAATTTAATTTGGACTTTAATTATCTCGAATAATAAGTTAATTATATATATATATATATATATATATATATATATATATATATATATATATTGTAACGACGTAAATTTTAAAACCAATTTTTTTCATTTTTACAAACATCAAAACATCGAGTAATAATTTAAATTCCAATGTAAACAATATTGTCACGACCGATTACATCACAAAGATCATAAAAATAGTTTTCCCCGAGTATGTGTACGATCACGTGGGCGCCTTCCCACGGTCCTCGCTAGTACCTGAAACACATAACACACAACTGTAAGCATAAATGCTTAGTGAGTTCCCCAAAATACACCCTACGCACATACGCCTTTACAGGCCCTGACCTTCCGGTCCATGTGTCTCAGAGGACTTCCATCCCGACTGGGTAAACCTTCCGGTCCTACCCACGTCAACCTTACGGTCCACATTACAACGCCTTCCGGCCCATAACATATTCGCCTTCCAGCCCATAACATAATGCCTTCCGGCCCATATCAAGCATATCATACATGGCACATATAACGATACACATAATACATATATCTCATATCATATTCGACCTTCCGGTCACACAGTCAAACCCTTCCAGGTACAGTATAGTGAGAAGACTTACCTCGTATATCTCGATAACTCGCGAACCCTGGAAATCACTCGTGCGCGAACCCCGAGCTATAATCCTCCTATAACATCATATATCTCTAATTAATACTTTTACCACTAAGGTTGACTATCCCTATCAAGTCAACACTAGTCAACTCTGGTCAACAGTCAACGGTCAATTTGACCGGACTCGGCGAGTGCACTAGAGCGACTCGCTGAGCCTAAGCGTTTTCACCAACTCGCTAGGATTCTCCTTTGACACGTTGAGTACTCCCCTGACTCGACGAGTTCCACCTGGTCATGAATTGCAGGGCCACCGCGACTCAACTCACCAAGTCGCAAGGACAACTCGGCGAGTTCCAGCTCGACTCAGTCCACCTGTCAATCCCTCTCTAACTCTCCATGACTCACTGAGCCAACCATAACTCGGCAGGACCACTCACTGAGTGGTTAAGGACAATCTTCATGCTACTCGTCGAGTCTGTTCTTCAGACTCGGCGAGTCCATGCCATGCATCAACTCAATCTTGCTTCTGAGGTTAGATCCGCTCCATACACTCATAGATCTGGCCCTCCTAAGCTCATTCATCACGTAAAGGCACAATCTTGGTTACCATGCAACACTTACAAGGCTCTTTTTAAAGAAATGACCTCTAATATGGCAACCCTAGTCTCCAACCCAAAAGGAAGGACATAAAGCATAGCATTTAGGACTTTCTGGACCTGCTCAGGTCCAGATCTAGGTACCATGTCTCCATGGGACCTCTCACACTTCAATTACAAAGCAAATAAGGCAAGAAGAATCCCTAGATTTGACCATATCAACTAAACACGGAAATAAGCTCTGAAAGATACCTCAAGAAGCTTCCCTTGGCGAAATGGAAGTAGATCCAAGCTCCCAACTCTTCTAGCTTGACTTTCCCCCTTCCTTTCTTGCAAATACACACAAATTTGGTGAACAATAGCCTCTTATCTCACTCACAGGAACCCTTAGCTGCTTTGGTGCTCTCAAGGATCAAGGTGGCCGCAATGAAGGGCCATAAGGTCCTTTAAATAGAGCTTAGGACCAGGAAATTAGGGTTTCATCAAACAGCACGGACTCGCCGAGTCTATCCCTTGGACTCGCCGAGTCCAGACGTGAACCCGCATCCAGAACCGCGACCCTACTCGGCGAGTTCGAGGTCCAACTCGCCGAGTCCCCTCACAAAACACCAAAAAATATGCGAATAAAAGATACCTGGAAATCCGGGTTGTTACATATATATATATATATATATATATATATATATATATATATATATATATATATATATTATTTACTGGGAAACGTTCAACAGTGCTAACCGAGTGGGCTGAAAAAGTAGTTAGTATAAACGAAGAGCATACGACAGGATGGTCCGTTTTTGGTGTTTCAGATGCAATACATGAAGTGCATGATTTGAAACATGGTGGCATAGTTGATCTTAGGCAAGAGACTTGTAAATGCAAATATTGGGAAGGAACTGGGTTGCCTTATGGTCATGTCATAATGGTCTTAAAGCACTTGAAAAAAACTAACTTCGGACATCTGGCTATAGATGCTTACAAAATGGAAACTTACCAAAGTACGTATGAAGAGCCTCTTTACCCATTTCCAAAACTGTGTGATTGAGAGATTCTTGCTAAGATGATGGTTGTTAAACCCCCGATAATGGATACACGTCAAGCTAGTAGACCGAGAAACATAAATCGTATCACGTCACAAGGTGAGGAACCTATAGTAAAAAGGTGTAGTATATGTGATAGTAGAGCACATAATGCAGCGACTTGTCCGGCATTGATCCCAATGAATCAAAAAAAGGCTAGAAAAAATAGTGCGGCATCAGGTAGTAACACAAAAGGGAAAGGGCAAGGGACACAAGGGACTCAGGAGATGCTAGAGACGTATGGGACACAAGAGACACGTTGGACGCAGAGAAAAGACCATTGTTCAACGTTTGATTTGAATGATTGATGTTGTATTTATAATTAATTATGTTTTGTTTTAGAGGACATTAATTTGTGTGCTTTGAAATGGTGTGTTTATTTTAAAGATGATAGGTAATATTATGATTATATTAGTGCATCATTACTAGTAGAATAATAACTAAAACTCGAAGATAATACATTCAACAAACCAGAAACATATAGTAAACGTACAACAATAGTAATTAACTTAAGGGAATTGCAAAGGATACTTTTCTTTCTCCATTGTTATGTAGTCGTCCCTAATTCTTATTTTATCTTCCATACGATCCTATTGCCTCCCAAGTTCTATCATTCCTACATCCTTGTCAGCAAGCCATTTTTCAAACAGTTAGATATTCTTCTTCGTTTTTTTATCCATTCGTTGTGATCTTTGATTTTTGTAGTAATCGTCATCCTTTCCTCAACTTATTTGCACTCCGCCGCAATGAGGTGATGACGTTCGGTGAGAGCTCGAGATGACTCTTTTCCTTTCCTAAAGTACTATAACTTTGTTCTCGGGCATATACAACTCTCTTAAACTTGGTGATGGGGCAAGAAAAGGGTCGATCGGATCATAATAGAAACAATCAACTTCGTTGCACGAGAAAATATACAAACTTGAAGATGAACTCATTTTAAATTTAAAAGAAATTTATAACTCTATACCAAAAATCCAATGACCATCCATGACTATATATAGTCCCTTCAACTCCGCAGAGAGTTGTTGTTAGTCCTAGAGCTTTTTGTCAGTCCACAGAGCTCTTTGTCAGTCCGCAGAACTATTTGTCTAGTCGTTGTCATCCATACATTATAATTATGGGAATACAATTATTTATTTAAAGGTAAACATTTTTTTGTTAAAAACTAAACAATGCCAACAGACCATTACAACTACGATTAACATAGAACTGAATACAAACTAATATTCTTTGTGATCCATACAATACAGTTCAAGTGAATTGCCGTTGAGGTAAGACCACAACACTTTCAACTGGTAAGGGATCATTTCACAAAATGGCATCTAATGTACCAACTTCTTCAAATGCATCTAATCCGTCTAATGTGGTTGCTCCAACAAATGGTACATCTCCATGGACGACAACAGAGGTGTTGGTCCTAACACGATGTTGGATTATCATTTACGAGGGTCTACCGGTAATGGTTCCCCTTAATTGCCTCGTTGGTGATGAATGGTCCCACTTAGTAGCTTTGTTCAACTATGAGGTGGGACAATGACAAGAATGACTAAAACCCGATATTGTTAGTAAATGGATGGATTTAAAGACAAAAGTCACATGGTTCAATCGATGCTACAATTATGAGAAAATCCGATGCTCTGATGCTGACGATGACGAACTTCTTGAATAAGTGAACGGATATTACCTGTGCCATTTTGATGAAACTGATTTCGAGTATACAGACGTTTGGAATCTGGTTAAAAATAAACCTTTTTTCATGTAGATGACTCATTTATTCCTAATGTCTTATGTAATGTTTGTTAGTTGTTCATCTTTTATTTGTAATGTTTTGTGTAATGTTATTATGTTATTTCTAATGTTTATTTTGTTTGAATGTATCGTAATATATGTTGGTGAATTATGTTTCAAAAAATATAGGATAAAACACATATCTATATTAAACAAAACTACTTATATAGTAGAGCCTATATAGTATCCCAAATAGTTAATATTAATATATATACAAAGTTCCGAATATCAACTTATATAGTAGGGCTATATAGTATCCTAAATAATATTTGTCATCTTATGTTTGTAGAAAAATCCCACATCTCTATGTGCCGTAGAAATCTTCACGGGTACCCCCAAAACAATCATTTTCATAAACATGCATACAAATACTCCACAATCCCCTCTATCAAGACTATATTCTTGTTGTGGCGTATCTACAACATCAGTAAACTCCACCTTTTCTTTATCTTTGTGTCCAACGGGGAAATCGTTCCAGTACTCAATAGCTTCTAACTATGAGATAATACTATCTCCAAAACTTGTGAATTCTCCACCAGTTAAGTACTTTGAGAAGTAATCCATAGGTTGTGCTGAATCATAAATATCTACTTTCCAGGTATCTAAATGTAGCACCGCCATAAACCAATGGGCACCAATAATATTTATTACGAATAGAACCTGCAATAAAAATTTAAATTAAATAGTCGTAATTTCAATAATATTATATATATAAATTAATATCTATTAAATTCAACTAACCATATCCACATCCTTCCATTTAGGATGACCTCCAAGACCATTTGATATATTCCTAAATAAAAATGATTTTCTGGGTTCCAAATTGATTTCTTGAGGAAATATCATCCACCTTGCGCTCGTCGGCCGCCTTTCCATCAGCAAGGAACTCCATACCACAATATGTTGTACATTTTAAGATAAAAATGTTAGAATTATTTATATAAATTCTCGTCTAAAAAGTTAGTTAAATTTTTAATTAAAGAAATGTTACCGAAGAAATTAACCACCCTTGGTGAGTAACAACAAGTAACATCGACCAAAAATCTATATCTAGTGGGAGCATATGAAACCTATGTTTAGTGATGAGTTTGGAAGAGATCATACTCCATTTTTTCCAAACTCATCGTGCTAGCAACATAAATACTGTCCAACAAGAGATGGTTTGAAACATCACTAGTCTCTACCTTGGCAATGTCCTCGTTTGCTTTTTCAGGACTCTCCACTATTTTTTTTCTTCCTTCTTTTAATGATTTTCTTCAATTTTGGTGTCGATTGCATCTAAAAAATTAACATGTTAAATCATTATCAATAATGTAATGTTTTATAAATATACCAAATTTAAAATATGAGTATTGTATCACTGTGAACGGAGTCCGCTGATACCATGCAACAGCACTCTTTCGTTGCGGCCTACCAACAGGAGTCACTGTTTTTAAGTGATGTTCCCCCACGTCCGATGAAGGCTCACCATGCGTAGGTGTATGCCCAACTTCTGTGACAACCCGAAATTTCCATTCGGTCAAACCCTAAAAGTCAACCACTTCATAGCATAAGTCAATGTAATTATTTCTTATTTTTAAGAAATATAAAATTATTTTGATTATTTTAATATTATTTTTAAGCAAACGGGTGCAAGAAAGTGTCGTCTCGGGTTTTGATTTTTGAAAACCGCAAACACTTCGCGTATTAGAAACACCAACCAAACTTTTATGTTTGGGTCGAAAAATCATCCAAAAATCCGTAAACTAATGTTTATACATGAGTTTACTCCTCATTTGTGTTTACTCCCCAAAAGTGAAAAAGAGTAAACTCCAAGTTTTCTCTCAAGTATCATCCAAGATTTAATTCCAAATCTTCAATCTAGTAAGTGTTTCTAGCCTTTCAAGTTGGTATATCACTTAATCTAGTGATTGTACATCCTTTAATCCATTCATTTATGTGTTTTGATTAGTTTTTCCAAAACACCAAGAACACACACTAAGTGTTCTTGGCGTTTTAGCTCAATTCAAGCTTCCCAATGTAAGTACTTCTATCCTAGAGTCATTTTAAGCTAGCTATGCATGTTTATACTAAGGAAATATGTCAAGAACACAAGGATATGAGTGTTCATGGTCCAAGAAAGTTCTTGGGCCGTAAACACCCTAAAATGCACCAAAGTTTGCATAAGTCCCAAATCTAAGCCCTAGTTGATGTATAGAACATCCTTGACATGTTTAAACCCTTCCTTCTTATGTTTAAGCCTTGAAAAAGCACCAAAACCCCCAATTTTATGTGTTTGCAGTTTAGGGATGTTCCAAAACCGTAAACACCCCAAAAAAGTGGGTAAATGTCCATTTAAAGTCCCATACTTGGTTCTTATGGCTAAATCTAACCTAGACTAGTGCCATGGTTGAGCTAAGGACTTGAAAACCCCAAATACCATACACTTTGGAGTTTAAGGTAGTAAACTCATGAGTTTAAGGTAGTAAAATCATGAGAAATGGTCCTTAGACTATAAACTCCATTTAGGAGTGTTTTGATGCCACACAACACTTCCTAAGGTTAATTCGTGAAGTAGGAATGCTTGGAATAGCCTAGAAGACTTCAAATCACCAAATGGTCAAAAGATTTGGAGTTTACGGCCGTAAACTCAAGAGTTTACGACCGTAAACTCAAGGGGTGTTGATCCTTAGGGAGTAAACTCATTTTAAGAGTTACCCTTGAACCCCAAACACACTAGCCTTTCCCTACAACACTTAGATGCAACCCTTTAGACTTTTAACACTTGTATAAAGTGTTTAACATGTCGTAGAGTGTTTTGACTTTGTTTATTAGTTGTTTAAAGAATAATTATGTATATACATATATCCTTATATGTTATTAGGATCTTTGTGCGTGTCTAAGTCTTCACTTGACACCAAGCACTTATCCGACACTTCTTTCCGATCCACTTACCACAGGTGAGTTCATACCCCTTAACTAATGTTTTAAATGTTTTTAAATGTTTTATGGGGGATACAAGTAGAATCATGCTAATTATTGTATCAATCACATGTGATTAATAAGTAGAATTATGCTAGTTATTATATCAATCACATGTGATTAATATGCAACATTCAAATGATTCACTTCACTTTAACCATTCTTACCAAACAGGTTCCTCAAATGATTTTCTTAAATGTTTTATATGTTTAAAAATCCTTATTAAACGGTTCATTACACACTGTATAGTCCTATTTCAAACCATTTTACTCCGATCTGTTTTACTCTAAGCTGTTATCAAAATGTTTTACTTCAAACTGTTTTTACTTCAAACTGTTTTATTGATTGACATCAAGTCAATCTTTTCTTAGATAATAATTATGTTCAAAGGTTTTACAAAACTTATTTTATACTTTTATATTATCAATTGCATGCCTATATATGTATTTATATAAGAAATGTTTAAAAGACTTAGGAAGGCTATCCACCCTATTTCCTTTTCGCGCTGAGATGTGGTCTGGTGGGATATCGGTATCCGTCCGAAGGTGTTTAAATATTAGTTATATATATCATATGTACATATATAGTCATAAAGTCCCTTCCAGCTCATCCAATGCCCTTGGGTAGCAAGGGTATACATCCATGTTCATACGTACCAGTTATATTACTAGTAAGCTACCATATGGGTAGTTTAAGAAGATACTAGAACTATTACTAGAACGCAATACTATACAATGAGTCAGTTCATTCATGAGTCATACTTTCTAGAATATTACAGTACATTACTATACTTGCTAGATAGAGAGCACGTACACTACAGCTATAACATTACATTACATTACTATACTTACTAGATAGAGAGCACGTACACTACAGCTAGAACATTACAGTATATTACTATACTTGCTAGATAAAGAGCACGTACACTACAGCTAGAACATTACAGTACCTTACCATACTATTATATAGATATGGTCACATGATCACATGTACATGAGTACACTTACATGAATTACTAGTACATTTTATATGTATAGATTCTATTATATAATCCTCATTCTATTCTTTACCTTGTGATTCAATCACATAATCGACGAGATAGATTGGATTTAATATCCTAGTACCCAAGGATACATTGCGGGACTAACCATTCCTAGAATCTCTGTTAGCTACAGAGGTAAAAGCACATCCACGGATGTCAACGGTTGATACCATTACAGGTATACTTTTGGGGACTGACTATTCCTATACCCAACTATTAGCAACAGAGGTAAATGTACATCTACGGATGTATTCAGCTAACATTTTTATTTTCCCTAGTACCAAAGGGTGATACTATTACAGTTAGGTCTTGGTAGAAGACTACATTCAGAACAGTTAGGTCTTCGTAGAAGACTACATTCAGAACAGTTAGGTCTTGGTAGAAGACTACATTTAGAACAGTTAGGTCTTGGTAGAAGACTACATGAGAACAGTTAAGTATTGGTAGAAGACTCCTTTTGTTATTAAAAGGAATCATAGGGATTTCAAGAGTTTTCAAACGTTTACAGTTGTTTTACATACCTCTTCATACTTACAGTTCATATACAAATTCTTACATACAAATACTTACGTACAAATTAAGACACTAAATACTTATGATCTCACTAGCTTTAAAGCTGATACTCTCTTTCAAAATTACTTGTATCCTCAAGTCATTATAGACAGGTACCGATGCAAGGAGAAAGGAAGATGGAGCTCGTTCAAGACTCATCTTTCATTTTGATTTATGCTTTAGTGTTTATCAAAATTTGACAGAACACTTGTATAATAATTATATTATTAATGCAATGGATGATGTTGTTGCTTGTTTACTACTTTTCATTGTTGTGATACTGTACATGACGTCCTCCGTCCCAGAACGTTTCCGCCGTTCTCGGTTTTGGGGTGTGACAGATTGGTATCAGAGCATTGTTTATAGTGAATTATGTATATCAACCCATAAAAGATATACTAACTATAAATACATAAGGGATTAAAAATACTCTGACCCAGAGTTTATACTTTAAATAATAAAATATTTAAGTAAGTATACGAGCTGCATTCATACTAAAATCAGTGTCAGGACAGTACAAAAGAATTACGATTGTTGGGCAACACAAGTGGGCTTAGAGACATATGGTCAAAACTGGGAAGATTTAGCCTGATCACCTATATTATCCGAGAGTTGACTAGCATGTGCCTAAGTTTAGTTGTGTGGTTGCAACAATGCTAAAATCTTACCAACCCTACCACAATGAGAACAATAGAACATAACATTAAACTTAAAATACTATAGGAGTATTTGGTGTTACTATAAGTACTTTATACTTGAGAATTAAAACGGGATCTTCATTACTAAGTTGATAGTTGCTAAGTGGATACACTAAGGCTATATGTAATTAGGATGTTATTGACTTAGAATCTGTGAAAATTTTGTCTTACCCCTATTCTGTGTGAATTTGGAATTAAGGTCACTTATTCGAAGGTTTATCCTGTTTAGATTACATATAACTGGTATGCACTTCACAAATAGCGATGTAACTGATGAAGATTTTCTAAATAATCATCTAGATAGTTCGTCTAATAATTATTCTCTTACCCCAAATCTCACGTAGATAACATGGCTGGACTCCATCCCCACGACAACCTGTTCCTTCCGAACGAAGTTATTGCTGGATGGTTTGAAGAAGAGCCAGAAAATGATCATCCTATCCCTGTGAATGATCACCATGATGAAGACCTTTCGGATGATGCTAATTCCGAACCCGAGGTTGAAGATCTACCCCAGGCAGCTCCCGTTCGAATTCCTAACCCTCGTCCTGCTTTTCATGGCCCGACGCCTCCATTGGTGGAATGTTTGTAAACATGGAGCCAAGGAAAAGATCATCCCATGC